TGTGTGTGTGTGTGTGTGTGTGTATATATATATATATATATATATATATATATATATATATATATATATAATTTTATATTTCTAATTTTAAATATTTCAACTTATGGTTAAGCCTAATAAATATACTTTTAAATATAAATATAATTTACTGTTTTGTTTTTTTCTCAGCCTTAATGACAAAACAAAAAAGAAGAGTCTGACGACATTCGAGAGAGATAGGATTATGTCGTTGCTGTCAGGACAGCTGGATTACCGTGGCTTTGAGAATGCTGACATGGTCATTGAAGCCGTGTTTGAAGACCTGTCAATCAAACATAAAGTGGTGAAGGAGGTTGAGGCTGTAAGTTCAAGTTATGTGTGTTTTTGCTTAGTGTGATATAGTGTACAGCCCTACCAATATATAAACTACTGTTCATACCTGTCCTGTGTGCAGGTGATTCCTCCTCACTGTATCTTTGCAACCAACACATCCGCTCTGCCGATCAAAGACATCGCAGCAGCCAGTAAGAGACCTGAAAAGGTGTGTGTGTGTGTGTGTTTTAAATGGGTTTGATTGTTATTAGTCAGTACTAGTGATTGATTGTGAAAGTCTTTATGCTGAACTATGTGTGTGTTATGTAGTTGATAGGGATGCACTATTTCTCTCCGGTGGATAAAATGCAACTGCTGGAAATCATCACCACCAATAAAACTTCCAAAGACACAACAGCATCTGCCGTGGCTGTTGGGCTTAAACAAGGAAAGGTCATCATAGTCGTGGGGGTACGAACATGTTCTGCTTTTATATTTTCAGATTTTTCTGCAACAGCAAGGGATTATATTGTATGTCTATTTCATCAGGATGGTCCAGGGTTTTACACCACTCGTTGTCTAGGGCCTATGTTAGCCGAGGCCGTTCGAGTGCTGCAGGTAAATTCCTACATGTTTGTGCTTATGCAAGGAAAAACAATCTTTATTTGTTCCAATTAAAGATTGAATTCTTGTTTATGGTTAAAATGTGTATTTGTGAAGAACCAGACAATTTGGACTGTTGGTTTCTATTATATGAGCCAAATCTATTTTTTTTCTGTCTCGTAACACAAACTTTCAGAAAACATTCTAATATGCTGATTTGCTGCTTAAATAATTTTTTCTTATTTTTATCCTCATCAATGTTCTTTGAGCAATAGAAAAGAACAAAGAACAGCATTTATATGATACAGAAATTGTTTTTAACATTATAAAAGGTACAATTTATTTAAACTTGGACTGCTTGTTCAAAACTATTTTTTATTATATGAGCCAACTCTAATCTTCCTGTCTCATCACTTTGGCTAAAGGAAGGAGTTGGGCCCAAGAAACTGGATTCCCTGACAACAGGATTCGGGTTTCCTGTCGGCATGGCGACACTTGCTGACGAGGTCGGTATTGATGTGGCGGCTCATGTTGCAGAAGATCTTGGCAAGGCTTTTGGAACGCGATTCGGAGGAGGAAATGTTGAGGTCTTGAAGATGATGGTCCAAAAAGGGTTCAAAGGTGCATCTGTTAAACCACATACAGCTTTGTGTTCATAAATTGTTCGGTCTTACAGAACATTTGATGGCAAGGGATAGTTCACCCAAACATAAATGTGCATTTGACTTTTCAGGGAAAAATGCCTTAAATTTCTGAAACTGTATCATCACTCTAAAGGCAGAGATATTCTTGTCATATTTGAATTCAGTAGTCAGATTGTTATTGCAAATGTATATATGCACTTCAGGACGCAAGTCTGGAAAGGGTTGTTACGTGTATGGAGCAAAGTCGAAAGAAAAGAAGGTGAACTCAGGAGCTGAAGATATTCTCAAGAGCTTTAAGCTAACAGCACCCCCTGCTGTGTAAGTTTGTTTTCATGATTTACTAGCATCTTAAAGCCTCAGAAGAAGCCCTTCATATTTCTCCTATTTGTCTCTTTAGCTCTGCCGATGAGGACATTCAGTACAGACTTGTGTCCCGATTCGTAAACGAGGCAGTACTTTGTCTACAGGAAGGCATTTTGCCCGACCCAGTGCAGGGAGACATCGGAGCCGTGTTTGGACTTGGCTTCCCGCCATGCTTGGGAGGTAACAAACACATTACACACCTTGTAATTAAAGTGATTTATCTTATCTGATGCGGGCCTAGCACTTAACCCTGAGGCACACCACATTGTGCCTGGGGATAATTAAGGATTTGCAAAGTAAACTTTCACAACCCACTTTTTTCCCACATTTCAGGCCCATTCCGTTTTGTTGATTCATACGGAGCTGACAAATTTGTCCAGAAAATGAAGCGCTTTGAAGAGGCTTATGGTAATCAGTTCACTCCCTGCCAACTGCTCCTTGACCACGCCAAAGACTCCAGCAAGAGGTTCCACAAGTGAAAATTTGCCACTGTTATAATTTTGACCTCAACGTTTGGGATCTTATAAAATGTCACATTCACTCACTTAAAGTAGTGCATTATTTACAAATCCTCAATTTTGTGTTTTATCATTTGTGGGTTACAAAGCAGATCTTTTCTAACTTGGCCTGTACATAATTTGTCAGTTTATTTATGTGATTAAAGAAAGGGTATCTATGTAAAATCCCTGTAAAGATGAGGTTTGCTCTCTCTCAACAACATGATAAACTCTTCTTTTTAAAAAAAAAAAAAAGAATTTAACTGTAGTATATTTATTGGCATTATTCATAACATCACTTCCCTGTAGAAACATTTCTGAATGGTGCAGCTACATTTTTGTTCTAACCAACGTGCCTCTGATTATGTCCAGGTTGAGCTGAGACAGACTTTTGCACAGTTATTATTTGATCAAATTTTTGTATAGCATAGTAGTTTGTTTGTTTGCATATGGTTCTGCTATAATAAACTTCTAACCCCTTGCCTGAGAATTATCTCAAAGGATTTAAATCTCAATATTTTTTTAATGCTTCTGTGAGCAAACCAGGTAGCATTAAAGGATAATTGTTCCTTCATCTACATTTTTTCTATCATCCTGTCCCTTTAGGGCCTCCGTAATTCAAACAAATTCACGGCTATTTGTCAAGCCCGCCAATATGCGTTAGCATAAAATTTTAAACTTCAAATGGAAGAAGAACTTCGATTGTTTCTGACATCACTACAACCGTTTTCTCTCCGCACCGACGAAACAAATGCACACCGCTCACTAAGGTATGGATATAATTATGTGGGCATATTAGTCAAAATATTTATATTTTATCTTTGTTAGCTTTTTTTATCCTGACTCTTCGACTGGGAAATACAAGTATGCCTAGCCAATGGTTGAACAAAAATGCTACTAAAATGAATATAAATATCCACACAAAATATATTTTTTTCTATTTAAAATATATGTTTAATCAATCTGATATGGTCAAGAGTGCTGTTCTTCCAAATATCAGCAAGACTGCAAATTTGATATTGATTTTATACAACAGTTCAACAATATGAAGTTAATTTTAAGTGACCTAAATTGTAGACACAATATTGTCATTTTTTTTATCTGTTTCACCAACGAAAATAGTCCCAAACAATAACAAACAAATATTTTTAAATGGAGTATGCAATAAGCAAAATCTAGTATTCCAGAAATTAATTAAGCCTACCTAAAAAAAACAAAAAAAAACACTTCGTTCAGTTGAGCACTATTGATTTATTCTTTTCTGTAGTTGATCCATTAGGATTAAATCATACATGGTGAAATTACAGTACAAATGAAACACACTACCATTGTTAAATATTATTCAAAGTACAAATGCACCTACAGAGGGGGAAGCTGTTAAATAAGCATTCCAGAAACGTTCCTGAAATGCTGATAAAATATTTTTTTAAACAGTGAGATAAGGCTAAAACCTCATTTCAGCAGCTCTGACTCCCCTCACACACATCCTCCATCAGCGTGGGCTGTAGTAGTTAGTAAACTCTTAATTACTGTCACCTAATTACAGCGTGTTCTTTAGACTGTAAACTCTTGCTGCTCCTATTAGCGTGTACATCACAAACTAAACCCTTTTTTTTTAAGTCCCTAAAAAGTCACACATTCTGTGACATGAGCTCCATATGAGAGCAGCATGAAAGAAGAAAATTGTGGTCTACGTGAGTGAATCTCATCCAACATGTCAAGGAAAATATATTTATTTATATTTTTCCCTCAGGATTTTTTTCATGAACATTTTGCCAAATTCTTGAAACAATGTTTTAAGAAGTTTTACTTTTACTCGAGATTTTTTGTTTTTGTTTATTCCGATTATTCTCAATAATCCTCTTTAGATCCTGTTTTAAGAGAAAATACATTACAGTAATGAGAATAAGTATTACATTCAAACATTATGTTTAGGGCTTAACTGTGCTTAAATATCAAGAAAATAATGACACAATCCAAAATAATAATAATAATGATGATCTTAATGTAATTACTGGTCTCAATTACTTTAAAATGAGAATTTTTTTAAAGCTAAATTTGATGATTCATTCATTCATTCGTTCGTTTTTAGTTTTTGATTTTGTGGTAAAATATGACCTGTTTCATGAGATTCATCCAAGTCCCAAGTCCAACTGACAAACATGTCAGGTTACCAGAAAACATACAAAAGAGGTCAAAACACAGTCAGTAAACCGAACAGCCACACCATAAGTTCTGACTGTCTACTGAAGGCGCACAAAACCATCCCACCCCAGAAATAAAAATATTCATAACAAAAACATCAAATAGTGCTCCATAATATATTAGTCACGATCTGTCAGTCCTTCGATTAGAGAGGTGTATTTCACACACACACACATACATACACACACTTATAAAACATCTGAAAAAGTCCGAGCAGAAGCACTCATTGTGGCTGAGTACTCTTGTGTCTCTCAAACAAAAACATTCCTTCAATTCACGAGGATGCTGCCATCATATCTTGGGTCTCCATCCCTTGATGAACTGCATGATTTTTTTGACTTGTAGTTTGGTGAGTTTAAAGTCCTCCGACAAGATTTCCTCCGTCAACTGAGTGAAAATAGAGCCGTCGATCCTCTCTCGGCTGAACAGACCAATCACGTCGTCCGAAAGGCCGATGAACCGCAGACTGGACGAAACCTCCTCCACAGAGAGCCAGCACAGCTCTGCTGGGGGTCGCCAAGATGACCCAGCCCCGCCCTCTGCCCCCTTCGCCACGGCGACCGATCCAGAGGAGGGATCTGCGATGACCGTGTCCTCCTCTAAACTCTTGACTGGTCTGGGCGGAGTCTCAGGGCCGCCTTCTGAACCTCCCTGATTGGCTTGAGGCTCCTTGGGGGTGGAGATAATGAGGTCGGGTATCAGAGTGGGAGAGTTCCTACCAGTGGTGAGCCAATCGGAGGAGGCGTGGGTGTGTCCCGGATTGGCAAAGGGGTTTAGGGCGCCAAACGGTGCGAAGCGGTTTTGTGCCACTGGCCGCGGTCTAGGGCAGGTGGAGTAGTTCTTTTGGGCGGAGTCTGTACTGAGCAGAGGTGTATTGAGGATGTTGGAGGTGTAGGCCCCGCCTCCTCGTGGGTGGGACCAACAGGCCTGCGCGGGCTGGGTGGGATCAGGGCTCACGCTGGGGTCAGAGGTCACACAGTCGGCCCAAGTGCAGGGGTAACAATACAGAGAATAAGAGTCTGGTGATGGAGAGTTGCTGCCACTACGAGGAGCAGAACTGATGGAGAGAGAGAGTTGTGTTATAATGAAGAAATCCCCAAAAGCTCAACAAAAAAAAGATACAGCCACAATAATCCAAACAGCCGAAAAGTTATAAAAACGCATGCTTGAAAGGTAAAAATGTACATTAAAAAAGCAAATACGAGTGTCTAGCGTGTCGAAGAAGTTCATGTTGAGCTGTGGTTTTTATCTCGCATTTGCTTTTTTGTTGTCTTTTTTTACCTTTATAGTGTGTGGGCCTTTTTGCAACTTTTCATAATAAATGAATACAAAAATATTTATTTTTTTTTCTTTAGGTATTTTGTTTCATATTTTTTGTTATAGTGCTTCCCAGGGGGAATATTTCCTCAAAAGCACAAAAAAAATGATTAATGGATTAATGAACTTACTCTTGATTCCCGTTCCTACTTATTTCCAACCGATAAGTACTTAAAACGGCTCTATTTAAATCCCTCCAGTAGTAATTTTACCTTTCTTGCAGTCCAGAGGAATAAAATGAGAGGTTTGGGTTGAGTGTTTGTGTGGGCGGAGTTTTAGGAAAGCGGGTGGGGGCTGGAGGGCTGGGGGCGGGGCCTTTAGCACAGCGGGGCGGAACAGGTGGAGCGTTTAAGAAACGACACTCTTCTTTCACCTAGACGGAAAGAAGAAATACAAAAGAACAGTTACTAGGTTACAATGTAAGTGACATCTAAATGACACTGTCTTGCTGCCGTCTCCCTCACAACTCAAGACCTGGTTTTTAAGTAAATGTCACTTTCTGTCCAGGAGAATGTTAAACACCATTTCTCGTGTCATTAATTCTGAACACAGAAAATCGAATAATTAATACAGAATAATGAATATTAAAGACAAAATATGGAATAAATGGAACACTTAATACAGAACAATCATTATTAAGCATTAAATATTGAAAACTAAATACAGAACACTGGTAGTTTGAGTCTCGTGAAAAAGTTTCAACGGAGGCAAAAATCTTAAATTAACAGAATACAATACTATAAAATTCCCATTAAGATTAATAAAACAGATCTAATATCAAGTATCCATTTATCTTGGGCTATCAGTTGAAATAATTACATGATATGCTGCTGATTAATTAATCAAATTAATCACAAATAATGGCAGATAACAAAAGATGTGAAGATAATTAAAATCCGTTATTGTGGCAGATGTGTAAATCACCGAAGAGACAAAAAATGTAGTTATAAGTCAGTAAGTTGTCAGTTTTATGGAAACTGTGTTAATGAATTTAATCATTTTAACTATATTCTAATATTTAAATGTTTATTTAAATCTAATGCACACAAAACCTTTATTCAAAGATCAATATATGTGCTTTTTTTAATACCTCTAAACAGTACACAGAACAATATCTAAAGAAGATCTAAAAAAAAAAAAAAGATCTAAAGAAATCACCAACTGAAACTCTTGTTATGAATCTTTAAATCGAGGTTCAGACATATTCTGCTGTAAACCAGTATTTACGAGTGGTTATTTCCTAATTATGGTTAATATGGAAATACTGTCTCAATGATCATCACGATAATAAACTCCTTTAATATCAGTTATCGCTGTCTAAATATCCTCTTCTGGGAGGAACAACTCTGGGATTCTGGGATACAGTTCACTTCCTCAAGAAGATCTCCAGGGACTGTGTGTGTGTGTGTGTGTGTGTGTGTTTGGGAAGCTAAATTACAGGCCAGGCCTAAACCCTCTGTGTGTGGGAGCGAGAGAAGAGGGTAAAAGAGAAAGGCTGTAATTCCAGTCAACAGTGTCAAAAAGACTTTCATTCCAGCTCTACATCCTGATGAGACGAGATGTTGTTTCTCTGCTTGTATGCTGTGTTTTACACTGTAAAACATGTCAGTAATTTTAGCAGAAAAGGTTGCTACACTAAAAACTGTTTTACCACCTGTATTGTTAGTATAAAATATTCAGGTATCTCCTTATTTTAATATTATATCAGTTAACGATACACTTGTACCTTATACCTGTAATGTCTGAACCACTGTCACTGTGTTTTTGCAGTGTACATTATTAAGCACACAATGAATGACTCAAAACACCTGAAAAGACACAGGCTGAGATGATGTGTGATTATGTTTCTGTGAGTGTGTGTGCTGTGTGTATGCTCTGTTCCAGTAAACGTATGCTCATTATTCAGCCTTTAAAAGCAACAGTATCAATAATTTAGTCTTTAGTGTAGGGCAGCAGGGCTGCGTGATACTGTATGGGCCATGAAGCACATATGAATGTGTGTGTGTTTGCGTGTGGGATCGTGGCAAAAGAACTGAGGAAGACAAGTGAATCTCATCAGAATAAAGAGGTTCACTGAACTACAGTACAGCTGAGCTCAGGGTCAAAAGCACAGTAATGCTAGAAAGCTGTCTAAAAGAGTGAATCTCAAGAATATGTCCAGAATATTTCACCCCCAAATCAACAGTAAGAAACAAATTATTTATATATATATACCCCTCAAGTCAATATTATCATAATAAAAATCTCACTCCAAAAGACTGATATATATTTATATATATGTTTTTTTCTACTGCAGTTTAATGTGCTGAAGTAAACCATTTGACATTTTCTTTTCCTCCAAAAGTCTGACACAAAAATTGATTATTGATATCGTTTATCTCGACCAGCCCAACCCAGCAATTATTATTTTTATTTAATTATTGTTATTATTTAATTGTTGTTTAGTTATTGAGAATCACCACTGAAAATAACGAGAATTGCAAAAAGGTAAAATAATAATTCAAACATAAAAATAACAAGAATTTTGGGGGGAAACATGCTTATTGTCATGAAAATAATATCATAATACACAAAAAGTAATAGACCTAAAAACAGGATTCACTTTCTTCATGCAAAATACAATATAATAAATGTTGCGGGTAAAATTTGGCCTGGGTATGTTTTACACATTTTTTTTTTACGTTGAATAAAAAAAGCAATATGAGGCAAAAACTTTACATTTTAATGGACAATCTGCGTAAAATGGCTGCTTACAGCTTCAGATTTGGGTGGGACGGGAGGTGGAGTCGATACTCTCGACACTCTTCCTGCTTCCATCTGCACCATGGCGACGTGGGTGGAGCCCACCGTTCCATCCAATGACGTGGTAGTGGAGTGGAAGGATATGAGGTTATGCTCCGCCTTCACTGCGCTCTCAGACGTCCCCCCGAAACTTCCAGAACTCTGATTGGTCCAGAGCTCCTCGTACGGAATTTCCTGCGTCTCTGTCGACCAATCGGGCATGACGTATTCTCGCTCCTCTCCGTCACTAGAGGGCAGCGTGTGCGAGTCGACCAGCGAGTCTCTGCAGCCGTGTGAGATAGTGTGTGTGACGGCTCCGCCTCCATACACGCACAGAGACAGTCTCTGCAGAGACGTCCCGAGCTCGTCGTGCCCGTAGCCCTGAACGCACACCCGAATCCGCCGCGGACTAAGACATTCCTCAGAAAAATCCGTCTTTACCTCACGAACAGCACGCGAGTAATTGTCCGGATCGAAGCTTTCCTGGCAACGCAGAGCGCACTGTAGCACCACCTGCTGGTAGGAAGCATCTGCACGCAATAAACCCTCCGGCAGAGTGAAGCGCGGCATGTCCGTTAATAACAGGAAGTGAGACGGCGTGACTTCCTTTTTGCGAAGTATGCAGCAGAGAACGACAGTTTTGCTGATGATGCTGAGGAGTTTATATCGATGGCCCTCACGGATCGCGTGCAGGTCGTACGGGTTGCGAGGAGGTCGCGACGGCACAGACACGTTCACGGGCAAACGCACGCGCTCGATGATGCTGCGCACGGTGTGTTCACCTCCCTGCATCTGCAGCTCCTGCGGTGAACGCGTGCAGAACTGCCCGCGGCACTGGAACGGCAGACTGACGCTCTCATTGGTCCGATGGTTCATGCATATCAAACAAGGCATCTTCGTGCGGGTGGGACGTCCCAGAGCTCCACCTGCTTTGCCCAGTCGCCGTAGCAGCGCAGTCAGGCGGGATTTCTCGCGAGTCGATTGGACGCAGAGCAGTTCTGCCTGGCCCATGAGGGTTAATTCATCTCCCGCCTGCAGAGAGAAATTATACAACTCACTGTCCTCTGTAAACTCCCCAGAAACCACCTACAGCGAGAAGGAGAGAGACAGATGTTTTAGCATTTAACGAAAAACACATTGGCCACAGACCAGGCCGAACCTTCTTACGCAATCTACAATCTACTCATAATTTACAGCAGTTAAACTATATTCACACCTAAAATTAGTTAGTCAAGGTCCGTTCACACCAAGAATGATAACTATAACGATAACTATATTAGCATCCACACCAACAGATGATAACATTCTGATTATTATAAGTGCACGCTGCAGCTTTGTCAACTACCGCTATAAATGCTCAAGCTTGTTAAAGCAGGATGGATTTTGATTGGCTGTCCATGTTTTTATCATTCATCAGCTAGGAAAAAATCATTCTGAAAGTGATTACAACAATACGTTCATCTGTGCCGTTATCATTTTAGTTGTGGTGCGGCTATTCTCATATTATTATTCGCATATATATCATTACAGTTATTGTCTTTGGTGTGAACAGCCGTTACACTAGAATCAATTATGAAAATCTGCTAAATTGAATTGCCTATTAAATTACCAATTGAATTGCCAAGGATTGCCAGGGAGTTTGATTGACAGGCGATCTGACCAATCATAAAGCCATTTTTGTCCAACAAACAAACCAGACAGGAGAGTAGATTAACTTCGGTGGAATTGAACTTAAAAAATGGTGTGTATTGACGTCCTTCCGCAGTTGAAACAATATACCTAATGATCATTCATGTTTATTTCGTGCTTTAAAGGGTTACTCCATCCCAAAATGAACATTTTGTCATTAATCACTTACCCCCATGTCGTTCCAAACCCGTAAAAGCTTTGTTCGTCTTCGGAACACAATTGAAGATATTTTGGATGAAAACCGGGAGGCTTGTGACTGTTTCATTGACTGCCAAGTAAATAACACTGTCAAGGTCCAGAAAAATATGAAAGACATCGTCAAAATAGTCCATCTGCCATCAGTGGCTCAATCTGAATTTTATGAAGTGACGAGAATACTTTTTGTATGCAAAGAAAATAAATAAAAAACTTTATCCAACAATTCGTCTCCTCCATAGCACCTCCGTAGTGCCATTTTGGAGAGTATCCACTGAACGCAAACGGCATTGAGGATCCCCGGCGCACCACACAGATACGCTGTTTTCATTCAAACCAAAGCGTAAATAAACGTAGAAAACATATCCGTGTGGTCCGGCTGACACAGAACAGCATACGCTGTTTGCGTTCAGTGGATACTCTCCAAAATGGCACTACGGTGACGCGGAGAAGACGAATTGTTGAATAAAGGCGTTATTTTTATTTTCTTTGCATACAAAAAGTATTCTCGTAGCTTCATAAAATTCAGATTGAACCACTGATGGCAGATTGACTATTTTGTAGGGCTGTGCGATTAATCGAAATCGTCATAAATCGCGATTTCAGCTTGTGCGATTTCTAAATCGCTTTATAGCACGATTTTCTGCGCCCCCGACCTCCTGCAGTAAAATGCATATCATTCAAGTCTACTGTTTCACAGTCAACACATGGCTTTTTGGCTAGATTTAAAACAAGGAAAAGTGCACTTTTAGATAAACAAGGCAATAATAGATGGCACTCGTGGTGGTAGTTAAACAAAGTTATATTTATTGAGTTTAAACGCGAATATGTCTATGAAAGATTGTATTAGTGTACTGTTATAAAAGAGAATCACAATGCTGAAAAAGCATTTTCAGAAACAATGTTTGGATTTGAAATCAAAATAATGGATACATGTTGTGTTTGTGGTAAACAGCCGCGGATCAGGAGCGGACTGCAAATGCGTCCT